ATTATCAACAGTAGGTTAAGATGGGACTGGGCTACGCCAAAGCTGCCTACAATTATATTATAATTAAGTAAATAAGGCACAAAGTACTATGTTGGATAGATCATGAAATGGCGGCGTATTATGAAATGTCTAGGCACATCATGATCTGCCTATTTCTACGATCGGACGATGACATATCAATTTGCCTTCGACATTTTAAAAAAACCGGCGTGGTGGTACGAATTCAAGGACTAGATAGTAAAGAGTACCAAAAATGGTATGGACTGTATATGCGGCTTGATTTTACAACCAACATACGTTACATATCATTGTTGTACTCACGTACTTCTCAGGCTGGATACTAACGATGCACTCTGGGTTGTCACTTATTTTCGTTTTGCTTCGTCGTTTTGTTTTGCCAATTTGGCCTTTTCTTCCAAGTGACGCCGAATCGCTCGATATGTCGACGCTGAGGATTCCGATACTGGCTGAGGCAACAAGGGGAGTGCCTTGAAATTGAGGGGATACAACTGAAGGATAACAGATACGATGAGGAGATACGCCATACGCAGTATATAATATATTTAACCCACACAAAACGCCACGTCGCAATGTTGGAACACATAGCGGTCTTTGAGCATGAAAACCAACTTCATGCAACTTCCTTCGCACGGTTTGGTTGCTTACCAACGCAGCTGGTGTTTCATCCCTGCGTTTCGGCGAGAACGTCAAGCCGTCTGTCCTGCGTCTGTTCTCTCTGTGGTCGTGTCGGACGCTTGACCAGCGGGCAAAAATAATGTTTCCTTGTAACAACTAAAAATAATTGAGATGCCACATTCATTTTTAGTTCTTATAAGGAAGACGCTGCTGGCTGCTGGCTGCTGGCTGCTGCCCATCTCCTGATTTGTTCCCTCTGTATTATTTTTTGCTCTAAGTATATAGTAAATAATATGAAGTTATATAATAACGATGCATATGCGGTTTAAAGAAATACGATAAATATGTAATGGTATAATGCGAGAAATTAGTTAAAAATTATATTTAATGTTTTTGTATATCCATTAGTATGAAATAGTAAAAGAAATATAATGAGTTTATGAGTGAAATCACGTCGTGAAATGCGATACGGTACCTCTATAGTTCGTAGAAATTCCAATACGGGCGAAATTATCAAAAAAATGTTAGAAATATTCCCACATTGGCCAAAATGACCAGAAAAATATTGGAAAATGAAAGAATGCGGAAAATCTTGCTCAAATGGAACCAGAAAATGGTGATGCGAATCATCCAGGGACCAGATAGTGAATTGATGTGCTACTGGCTGACGTGCAGGCAGGACCCGAACTGCATGTTGGTCGTAGATGGAAATAAATGAATGAATGAAGGGACCTAGAAAAAATTTGATTCGTCAATATGATTGACTAAAAAACGCGTGAAAAATTCAATGTAAGAGTTGGCGGTAACACAGCGAGAGTGACGAATCATACAATCTGCCTACGACTTATTACATATACTAATGGAAATGATCTAGAAATAAAAAAACGACGGGTTGCACTCCGAGAGTGCTGACAGAAGTGAAAAGTTGAATATTAACGTTGTGCATTTCTAATATTTTGGAATGTTTAGATTACATAAACCCATTACAAAAAAAAGTGTACAACGCCGCTAAAGAACTTTTCACTTCAAAATTTTTCACTTCAATAATGTTTTCAACATTTGTGTTCCATTTTACAACTTTCTTCTTTCGGCGACTCCGGGGCTCAGTGGCTGAGCATTGAGTTGCGACGCTTAGGGCTGCGGGTTTGAATTCCGCACAGAACAAGTATTTGAATGCCTACAGTTAATAGTTAGGGGTCTGGATGTTTGTTTTTGTGCAATTTATGTATGTAAACTGCCTTCACGATATAGAAGAACTCCTGGTGTAGTAATAAGTATCCTAGGAGGTAGCGTATTTCAAAAAAAAAGAATAAAAAGAAAAACATTCGAAGCTGCTTGAAAAATGAGAAAAATTATATAGTAACTTCCAACGCGTGTATCTTTCAAGTAATAACTCCGTTAATATCGAAGTCGAGCTCTGAAGAATTTAATATCAACACCGGCACGTGAATTGAGTCTCGATGTTTTGCTTTTGGATCAGGAAATACCAACAATGTTATTGAAGGTAAATTACTTTCGTATATACGGATCCCTAATCTCTTTTAAAATGGTGAAATGGAGGACAATATTGTTTGTATTTTTAAGCGTATACTTTCCTCCTCGCCTCGTTGGCCCAGTGGTCCTCAACACGATTTCTAATCATGAGGTCCCGAGTTCGGATCCCCGATCAGATCATTATTACCCGATCCTTAGTTTCCGAGTTCTTAGGTTTTTCTGCCATGAAATTCTCAATAGTAGACCGTAGTCAAGTAGTTGGCGGTGTATCATACCTGTGCCTCGAACAACACGTAAGTCGTTGGTCCTGCGCCTCCGATTTCTTCGGTTGAGTCGTTTTGCCGTCCCATCGGACTAGGAGAGTGAGGTAACAGTGTGCACTTGTGCTTGCGCTACTCGTAGTTGGGCACTATAATCCGTTACTGCGCCGATAGCTAGTTTCCGTTGAGACTGGCCACCGCGACTGAAATTCGGTTTGGAGGACATTGTTATTATAGTTTGATGTCGTGATGACATAGTTAGCCAGGCCTATATTCAGCATTTAATAATTTATTTCTTTATCTTGTCTACGTAGAATAATCTCACATGGTCTTGCATTATTTGAAAATGAGTTCATTACCTGATGGTAAGTGGATGCTGTGAGCTACATGCAAATGCGTTGTCTCCTCTGAGGACTAGTATACTTTTTACTAGAAACAAGGCATCCCATCGTAGTCCTTTGGGGTGACAACGCATCTCCAGTTTGATTCTTAATTGAGGAGAAATATTTATATGTGCCACAACATGCACTTACCATAAGTTGGACTGTGTGCTCGTTTTACACTCATCATCATCATCATTACAGCCCTTCACAAGTCCACTGCTGAACATAGGCCTCCCCAAGTAATGCCACAAAGCACGGTCCTGAGCCACCTGCATCCATCGACTTCCTGCATGTCTTACCAGGTCGTCACTCCATCTAGTGGGGGGTCGCCCTACACTACGCCTACCGGTACGAGGCTGCCACTCGAGAACCTTTCTTCCCCATCGGTTATCGGTTCTTCGAGCTATATGGCCGGCCCATTGCCACTTCAGCTTACTAATCCGTTGGGCTATGTCGGTCACTCTGGTTTTACTGCGGATATCCTCATTTCTGAGTCTATCACGCAGAGAAACTCCGAGCATAGCCCTCTCCATAGCTCGCTGAGCGACCTTAAGCGTCCTCATACGGCCAGCAGTGAAGGACCACGTCTCAGATCCGTAAGTCATCACTGGCAACGCGCACTATATATACACACTCTAATCGTATAAAAAAGGCACAGGAAACCCAGTATATTCGTCAAAAGCACAAAACGTCTTTTACTGCGATCGTCGATCTTTCTGCTAAACTTCACGTTTAAATCGAACACTTCTTACGACCTATCCATAGTAGAGCCACGTTTCAGCTATATCATTGTTGTCGTACAAATGGTTCGTCTCAATCGAGAAAGGACCACCCTCTCACAAAATAAAAGCTTGAAATAGCACTATAGTTACTGTGTTTCGTATGGAGAGTTTAGAGAAATGGATATTCTTTTTGCTAGTAAGGCGGCATTCCATCGTAATCCTCAAATGCGAAACGTATCCGCATTTTGGTTTTTAATTAAGAATAAACGTATTTCTCTGTGGGCCAAAGCATCCCTTTACCATCGGGGCTACAACTATATATAGCTGCAGCGTGACTTTCACGTATATACTATACCGTTAATTGCAAAATTTTGCCCTCGGTTTGATTTGATGGTTTTCACAAATACCATAGTATTTATATTTATTTAAAAAATGAACTTCTTAATCAAAACTATAATCAAAAGTTATTTATATCATCGTAGAATAGCAGCTAAATGCAGCTGTGTTCAGTATGGTGAGTGTGGAGGACCGGAGACTCTTTTTACTGCAAATGAGGAATTCCTTATTAGTTCACAGGGGTGACAATGCCTCTGCATTTTGATTCTTAATCAAGAATAATGTGTGTCAATGTCTATGAACACAGCATCCTTTTACCATCTAGTGGACTGTGTGCTCGCTTGTTACCCTTATTATATAAAAAAATACAACTTCTGGAACTGTGGAAGAAGAACAATAAATAATCGTTATATTTAATCATTGTATTTGAGTATTAATAAAAATTATTGCATGTGAATTAAACTAGTTATTACGGAATTCGTTGCGTAAATTAACTTATTAATTTTATATTCCGGAACTACCGAACTATTTACAACATCCATGGTCACGAGGGAACTATGGTGTTCAAAGTCCTAATGTCATAGTTAACTACGGCTACCTACACTTTAAAATTATTAATTTTTAGTCCAATCTACACAGAATGAGCTTATAGTATCTTAAAGTATTGCAATTGTATGCTTGGGTTGGGATTTGATGTTCGAATTATGCGTGGAAGGAATCGGTGTCTTTTAGCGTGGATTTGTGGTCTATCAAACTGGATGTAGCGACGGGAGCATTCATGTACGTATTCACAGTCTGCAAACTTCGCGGAGTGTCGTTTCTTTACTTCAGCTGTGTACTTTTATGCGGGTTTTAAATTGATCAACATATCAATTGATCTAAAAAGTAAAAACTGCTTTATTTAAATGTTGTTCGCGTAACCATAAGAAATCATTACAGAAACGATGAAATCTATATAACTTTAGACTATCCATTGTATGTACTAAATCGATCAAACTCCGTCGTCAGGAGTTATTGCGTTCAAGTAAAAAGCTCTACTAGTAACTCAAAATAGGTGTTAAAATTTGATCAAGTTTTGTTTTAACATTTACTGTAGCATTGATTATGAAATTATAAGTCTTAAAAAACAATACAAACAAAATAATTATTCTAAAAATACTAAAATATAAATGAATCTTGAAAAATTACTTAGAGATAAGTTTATGTGCTGGAAACCCCCTCCACCAGAAGTGTTAAGTAGAAGCAAATGTGATGTAACGCTCGCCTGGGAACTCGGTGAACCCTTCGGTTTCCTCGGAAATCAACTATTGTATAAAATAGAGAAGCAGGATAAAATTCCACCCTGGGTTCTAGTGTACAGGTATTTCCAATATATGATTAAGATTATAACATATTTCGTTATTTAAATCGACAATATGATGTCCAGTGATCACTCACGAGCCTAATAGAATATAAGCGCTTCGATCACTCTGATCCTGTAGCATAATGCTGAGTCGGGAGCCTTTTCATTACTGCAATCCCGTGTGAACTTTTGGAAAGATTTTATTTTATTATTTAGATTGCTATTGTTAAGTTTCCCTAGTAACTAATAAATATTTCATTTCTGTCATTATAGTGTTACGACTCACATAATGTTTCTCTTTGTTAAGCATAAACATCATCTCATTTTTGAGTTAGTAAAGTTTCATTAAATTGAGACAGCCACTTCGAAGATTAGCAAGGAGCCCTTCCTTGCTATATAATTACCTCCTGAGCTTAATAGAAGCCAGATATTTAAATGTTATCGACATACTTCAATTTATTTATATTTTTTTTCATCTTTTATTACTTTAGCAGCACGTATTTTAGGTGCATTTTGGTCATGGTCATCAGCACATATTTTGGCCGCAGGCTCCTCCCGTTAGAGGGAGGATATGTCTCTGTGTCCTCCGTCAGGCAGATTGACGATTGTAGTTACAGACGTCTCTCAGCACTGTTGTTTGTCGTCGGACTAATTATTTATTTATTCGAACTGTATATCGTCATCATGTTTGTATCATTATTATCATCATCATTACAGCCCTTCACAAGTCCACTACTGAACAAATACCTCCCTCAAGGAATGCTACAAAGCACGTTCCTACGCCACCTGCAAGCAAGCATTGACTTCCTGCGTGTCTTACCAGGTCGTCACTTCGTCTAGTGGGAGACTGCCCTACACTTCGTCTACCGATACGAGTTTGGCACTCGAGAACTTTTCTTTCCCATCGTTTGTCGGTTCTTCGAGTGATATGACCAGCCCATTGTTATTTCAGCTTACTAAATCTTTATAATAGATTATCAAAGGCGAACTCTGCCATCCAACTCGTGGTGAAATTTTGTAGCAGGTACAATAACATACATACCGCTACCGTTACAGCCTGAAGTCCACTGCTGAACACAGGCCTCCTCCACAGATTGCGTACGCAGGGGAATATTTACCACAACTGCCACGCTTCACAAGTGGGTTAGCAACCACTGCTTTTTATTTTTAGTCGTTATTAGAAAGATGCTGCTGTCCATCACCTAATTTGTTTCCCTCTGTCCACTCTTACGGGATGATACGGGATGATGGATATTCTTACACGATACACGGTATTACATACTTACTGTGGCATACATCATCATTATTATTACAGCCCTTCACAAGTCCACTGCTGAACATAAGCCTTCCCAAGGAATGCCACAAAGTACGGCCCTGAGCCACCTGCATCCAATTCCTCATTGGGATGTGTCGAAGTTGGTGCGTAAACCTGCATGACCTTCAGCGAATAACGTTTGGTGATTCTTTTTTTTTAATTCTGAGTATAAGGTACGCGACCTTCGTCGACACACTCCCAATTTTTTCAACTTTATTAACGAAAGACTTGTGGACGATAAATCCGACACCTCTTTTGGACAGATGGTCGCCCTAACGATGATTTTTTTTTAGAATAAGGGTTGCAAACAGGCACACAGTCTATCTGATGGTAAGTGGATGCTGTGGCCCATAGACATCTACATTTATCCTGGATTAAAAATCAAAATGCAGGTGCGTTGTCACCCCTGAGGATTAAGATGGAATGTCTCATTTCCAGTAAAAAAAAGTCTAAAAAAAGAGACTCTACACTCACCATAAAAAACACAGCAGTATTAAGCTGCTATTTTACGCTGGTATTCTGTAAGAGCGTGGTCTTCCCGATTGAGCGACCCATCGTGCTACACCATAATAAGCTGCAACTGGCGCACCACAGAAAAAAAGCCGGATTCAAGGGTTACCGTGTCCTCCACCTTTCTTCGGTCATCAGATAATCCTATAATATCCCAGTGCAACTTATCTATATCGTCTTCCAGCTCCAGGATCCGCTAGTCAGTTCCTCAGGGTGCGTTCGTTATATGTTGCCAGGTCGAGTCGTCTTAGGTGGCAGCTGAACCTCCACCCACCCTCCACAGACCCACCCCTACAAATACATATGTTATAGGAAATATAAAGTCTAGACCTACTATTTACAGTCTTAAGAAGATAGTCTACTACCATCTGTCGGCAGATATAAGATTTTTCTTACATAAGTCATAGCTTTCTCTTACCCACGAGATGTAACGGATTTGCCTTACTAGATTTGTAATTTCATTTTTTTTCTTTTTTCTTTTTTTGAAAAAGCTACACTTATACTAGGATTTTCTGTTGTATCCTAAGGGCAGTTTAGATACAAAGTTGCATAATGACAAACATCCGAACCCGGAACAGTTACTTCTACGCCGTAAATATACTTGTGCTGTGGGGCATTCGCACCCGCGGCCTTCAGCACCATAATTAATTGCTAAGCCATGGAGCTCTCAATAATATACTATATTTTATTATATAATTACCTTAATAATTTTGTTCTTGTACTTAATACTATTGCTCTTTTGATTTTGTTTGAACCTTGTCTCTGTATTTCAGTGGCGGTAAAACGATGGAAACGATTGGAAATTTGGCCCCGCTTCACCCTCATAAATTCAGATTAAAAGTTATCTTGAAGGCTTCCGCCGTTCCATTCCTGGTCGTTAACGCTCTTAATTACTATGTGGATGTAGAAGTTCTAAACAATAAATTACAAGAAATCGGGAATATTAAAAGCGAAAAAGAAAGGAAGGGAATTGATTATGAAACAAACAAAAGGTATCGATCGATCTTTGAACAATAAAAGTAACATTAATAACAAATTGACAAAACACATCATTAATAGTAAGCAATAGATAATAAATAGAATATAGTTCTGTTCCATAGAGGTAATGTATTAATATCTGGTTTATATACAACATGCAATAAAACCCTGTAGTTCCCGTTCAGTACGTTATCAGAATCAGTTTTCAAATATACAGAATGATTTTTTACCGTCTGGAAAAAATAGGGAGAATGGAATAGTTTCCTATGGCACTGATATTTTACAATGTTTTTATTTTTTTATTTTACATTAACATATTATGAAATTGATCTATTAATAGATACTACTAATTTGTAATAAACGTTCGTTACTAAAAAATCACAACATAATTTTTGAATTAAATAAATAAAATGTATTAAATGTATTCCCAAGGCAATGGAAAATAGCTTTAATAAAACCGATTCCTAAAAAGTCCAATCCAAATGACTACAAGGATCTCCCTATAAGTATCTTGCCCTTTATGTCAAAAATTTTGGAAAGAGTAGTCTGTACACAGATGACGGAGTACCTTGTGGCTAATAATATCCTGCCTAAAAAGCAATCCGGATTCAGAAAGTCTCGTAGCACTGCAACCGCTCTGATGGATGTAGTGGATGATATTCTGACTGCACAAGATGTTGGAGAGGGTACTCTGTTAGTTTTGCTTAACTTTTCCCGAGCTTTTGATACCACTAACACCACTCTACTCTTATCAAAACTCGCTTACTACGGATTTGATAATTTAACAATAAAATGGTTTGCAAGTTACCTCACTAGTCGTACACAATTTGTTAAAATAAATAAAGACAATGGATCAGAATGGATATCTACCACGTTGCCAGTTCCAAGAGGTGTACCTCAAGGATCCATTTTGGGACCTATACTTTTTATATTGTATTGTTCAGATATAGTGAACACCATAAAAAATTGTAGTTATCATATATATGCTGATGACCTTCAATTGTATATGTCTTTTAAACCTAGTGATACCAATATAGCAATAAAAAAAATCAACTCAGATACCGATGGACCGCATAGCCGATTGGTGTGATCAAAATAATCTCGTATTGAACCCCATTAAATCGAAGTATATGTTACTGGGAACGCATAACCAGACAAATAAGATTCTAACTTTCAATCCGCAAATTAACATCAAGACTACTCCTTTAGAACATGTATTGGAAGCTCGGAACTTAGGTCTCGTTATGGACGTAGCGGAACCATGCGTAACTGTTTCTATAGACTCAAAGTCTTGTACCAGATCAGAGAGTATTTGACGGTGGACATGCGCATTAGGTTGTGTGAATCACTCATTCTGTCAAAGCTAACTTATGCGGATACAGTATTTGGAGAATGCTTGCTCGCTGAAACCAAAAAATTAATACAAAGGGTCCAAAATGCCTGCGCACGTTTCTGCTTCACAGTCCCTAAGAGATCACACATCACCCCATTTTTAAATCGACACGACCTGATGAGTATGGCTACTCGGCGTACCCTCCACCTTGCGTCATTGCTTTTTGGAGTTATAAATACCAGGGAACCATCATACTTATACCAAAAACTGATTTTCTCGCAGCGTGCGGTTAGGACAGCATCACGACTCACATACCCTAAGCATCACACAGCTGCCTTCAGTGGTAGTTTCCGTTTGCTGCCACGAAGTGCTGGAATGATATACCACCACCGATCAGAAATAGTAAAACAGTTGCCACTTTTAAAACTTTATTAAAAAAAGTTTCTGATTTCCGTATAAAAAATCCAGCAAATAGGCATAAATGGTATGATTCAATCTCAATGCTACGGTACACGGTACATGCACATACGAACGCACTCACACACTCAAACACGCATGCACACATTTTTTTTCTGCATGCATACCACCGTTTGTTCATCTCTACACTATCAATGTTGCACTGACACGTGGAATTTTGACAATGTGAATTTTTCTTTTCTCATTTTATTTTATATTTATGTTTAGTTCATTTTTTCTCTTGCTGTTACTTGTCATCTGCCTCACACTCCCGGCTCCACTGAAAATCAGCGTTACGAATTGATGTATTTATATCTTCAATTCGTGACTTAAAGCTGAGTGGAGACCATTTTGGTGCATATTGTGTTATTCCTTTTTTTAAATATTTTTGATAAGATATAAAAAATGTTTTATTTTTATTCTTTTTGTTATAATGTATGTACCAAATAAACTTTTTCTTTCTTTCTTTCTTTCTAAAAAACTGCTGTTATTGACCCTTTTTTTAAACATGGGGAAATGCCTACGCATACCCGCCTCGCGGGGGCAAGGACGGGTTCTGTCGGACTCGCACCGACTAAAACCCCATGGTGTTCCGCCTTCGTCGCATATTGGCAGGGCTACGGGAACGCTTTCGCACAGTTCCGCGGCCCTACCAGCGACTGCCGCCCCATGACAGCACCTCCTCGGGAGAGGAATATTCCTCCCCGTTCTCCTTCCCAAGTAAGGCGCGCCAAAACACATGGCACGCCTTCCTCCACGGCCTCCAATTACATCTGCGCAACAGACGCCCCCGCGTCCCCCCCGACGCGCGAAGGCCAGGAAAAACGTGCACTTAGAAGTACTAGCCTTCCCGACCCCAGCGGCGGATCTGGTCTATGGCTCCGCCGCCAACCAAGATTCGGCTGCGGAGGATAGGGAGAGCGGCGCCTCGCAATACCGACAATCCTGTCCCCCCGCAGCCCAATCACCACCGCATCAACGGTGCGGCCCCGTTTGAGTCGCGGAGGATAGGGCGAGTGGCGCATCGCCATACCAACACTCCTCTTCCTCCGCGACTCCACCTCGGCTGCAGCGGTAGAGGGTGCGGAGTCCCCACTCGCTGCAGTCCACCAGCACACATCCGAAGTGGGCTCCCCAAGCCCACTCGGAGTGGCCACCTCAGGCCGGCCCTTCATCTCGGGCCAGCCACGTGGGTTCCTCTTTGTTCACCGTGGGAGACCAAGCCACGGCTACTAAGCCCCCCGCCACGAAAAGGAACCCGTGGGGGCTGTTATTGACCCGCGGTCTAAGCGTGGCAACTATGATTTATATCCCCATATGAGATAAACTATGGGGGAGGCCTTTGTCCAGCTGTGAACTTTAATAAGCTGCAACGGCAATGGCTAAGGCACATAGAAGAATTACAAATACTTACATACATACATACACTCGAAAAACATTACCTTCTTCCTTTTTTTTAGAATAAGGCTGACAAGTGAGCACACAATCCACCTGATGGTAAGTGGATCCTGTGGCTCATAGACTTCTACATTTATCCACGATTAAGAATCAAAATGCGCATGCGTTGTCTCCCCTGAGGACTAATACGAAATGTCTCGTTTCCAGAAAAAAGGTCTCCGGTTTTCAACATGTGAATATGAAACATAGCAGCATTAGGCTGATATTTTACGCTGGTATTCTGTGAGAGCGTGGTCCTACCCCGGTCAAGCCTAACTATTCATGGTACAACCATAATATAATTGCAGCGTGTCTCTGCCTTGTATAATATCGAGCTCATGGTGAATCAGCACTTAAAATTGCGTTTGAAAATTATCTTAGTGCCGGTGATATTAAATTCAATTGCTCACGTAACGCGTACTCTAAATTATACGAAGAATGTTTAGTCACTAACTTTCCACATTTTTATTATTAAGGAAAAGCAAAAGTAAAGTTAAAATGACAAAGAACGTTTAGTCACCGATTTACCACGGTTTATTCAGGGTTATTTTTCAAAGAATAGCTGCATTTTAAAATCAAGTTTAAATATGTAAATAGTGATACACTGGTATTGCAGTTTATTAAAATGCGAGTAAATATGACTTCTACTTTTATTTGAGATTAGCTCCAATTGAATGCGATTTATAGGCAACAACGATCGATCCTTACGAATGTGCGTGTGCGTGCACAGAAAAATCGGTTAGTTTTATTTTTATTTCATTACTGTGCATTTTGAATTTAAAAGATAAAAAGGACAAAAGTATCTAGATTTTTTTAAATAACTTTTATAACCATTTGCTTATATTACTTATTCTGAATCTTCTCTGCAAATTTTGCCGGTTATTTCAAAATAACCTTGTATGTAAAGTAAGGCAAAAGCAAAGTTCAAAATTACTTTTTCATTAACAGTAAAAATATGATGAAGTGGCTGGAGTCGCAGTGGTCGGAGGAGGTGTGGACCAGTACGGATACAGATGGAGCGTCAGCTGTCTGTTTTTGTATGGCGGTACGCTGTGGATACATCAAACAAGTGAGATTTCTTATTTTTATAAATAGTATGTTGTTTTTTACTTCTAAACCTCTTCCCCATTGGTTCATGATCCCCTGTTGATATAATAACATGATCAACAAAAGGAGTAGGACAAGCATCTCACGCCTTTTAATACTATCTGTCGTCAGCAAATAGATTTCGTATCATCGTATCAGGTGTACATGGACAGCAGTAGTATGTGGCTACTGCCGTCTATGTACACCTGCTATTAACTTCAAACAAAGAAGCCGACAGATGAGTTGTCATTTTTCAGGATTAAAATGAAATACCTCACAGACTGAAATTGTACTGGTTCCTATACCCTTCATCCCGGAACACGACATTGCAGGAACTGCTATTTGGTGGCAGAAATAAGTTAGTGGGTGGTACTTACCCAGACGGACTTATCGACAAAAAATGAGTCCCACACCTCGTGAAAGTATCTTTTATAAAGGGATGGTTATATCCCCAACTATCGGTGGCCACAAGACCTGCTTTGTCTATGTCGCCTCATACAACACCGACGAGATGTGATTGGAGGACGTTCTGCTACCGCTCGACGTTAATCCTCCTATGCTCGAACAAGCTTGGTACTTGGCAACGATTTCCGATGTATAATCTAATGTACGTACCGCTCTGTATAGTCAGTATAGTTACAGGCTGTGAGGTATTCCAATATAGTCCTCAAAGGCAACAACGCATTTATATCCCTCTTTGTTTGAATTCCGCTGCAGGTGTTCAGGTACATAGTAGCCACTTACCAACAGGTGGACTAAAAGTTCTATTATCTAAAGTTAATGATTGCCAAAAACTTTTTAAACCTATGAGTAAAAATTATCGTTGTAGTTGCAGACGATGCTGGAAGATCGACCAGAACTAAAGGACATTGCCTCTATCAACGGTCTCACTCCGCTTGCAACTGCCATCCGACAAGGTACTACTGTTTCTGTTAACATAAGTATTAAATCTCTATTATATTATTGTTCCGAGAGATGCGGATGCTCAGACTAAGTGCATGAATGTGTTAATTGCAATTTTAAATGCTGTTTGTGATGGTGGTAAAGGAACACATTATGAAGAAACATGCATATCTGTAAAACAAAAAAATAATCGAAGACATTTCCAGTTAGCTAACACACATTTGGGCAGCTCCTTGCCCTAAATGCATTGTAGAAATGTAAGAATGCCTTTACCTGGTGTGCCTAAACACAGGCGCACCGGGAGATAGGTCTAGAATGTCAAAGCAGTGATCAAAATACCTTTTTTTTGTTTGTTGGGTAGTATATTCTCTGCACCTCATGACAAACACACTCTGGGCAGGGAGTTTTTAGGCCTTTAGATCATTTAAGATGTACTACACAAAAATGGCGATCTTCTGGAAGGGAGTATGTGTGGAAGCTCAGGTTTTGAGCTCTCGAGTGTACAGTTGAACTGCAGAAATCGTCAGTTTTGGACATGAAAATTATAATGCCCAGGTTCATGTTTTGCCCCTACCGGCAGTAGATGTCCTTGGCAGTGATCCAGTTTAACGGGATTTATCCTGTAGGGATACCGGTGGTGGAGCCTGTTCCTTGCGTTCGGCATGGAAGTTGGGGATGGATTCTCTTGGGGAAGAGAGAGCCAAGTGAGGCTCCGCTTCCTTTCTAAGGGATGTACGTTTCCGTCTCTTACCGGTGACGAGGGTGAAGCCTTCGTCTTCGTCTTCCGCCATGGACGGAGTACGCTTACGTCCATTAGACCAACGCGGCAGTCAATAACGATATAATAAAAGAGCGTGTGTTTGCCACAGATGCAGTAGTATTACTTATCATCTATGGCTTCTTCACCACTTAGCACCAAGTGGGGTTATAGCTCAGCACTGGCTTATATTTTTATATATTTATCACATCCTACTGATCAATATATGAAAAAATTCTTTTTGCCTTAATTCTCCCCACCATTTTCCACAACGGGACTACTAGGCGGTCGGTGAGTCTTTGCACCTTTGTTTCCGATATTTCACGCATTCGAACCAAACGGTTTGCTTCAACTTTTATTGTACGTACGGTAAGGGTTGGTATCATTTCCCAGAGTCTCTCTTTCCGTTAAATTATAATCTAGGTGTCTTCTAAGCAAATGTGAACAGTGTTTTGTTAAGAGATTCAATAGGTTTTTGTCGCGCTAAAGTACAGGCAGGGCAAATCACCTTATAGAGTTTCATCACCACTTACCACCAGAATTGTAGTGTATGTGTTATAATAAGTAGTGTCTCAAATATACAGATAAAGAGTGCCAACAGCATATCACTTACATTGGCATTATTTTTGAAAGGTGACATCAACACTGTCAGATTTCTGCTGCAAGCGGGCGCTGAGGTGAACCAGGCCCTGACCGCGGGACAGACGCCGCTCCACCTGGCTGTGCTAGAAGGACACTTAGCTATAATTGATCTGTTACTGGAAAAAGCTGCCGACTTCCAGGTAATCTTCCACTATAAATGTACAAGTGTTACATCGTTCTTTTCTTAAACGTTTTTGTAAAAAATTACTTAAGTTTTTTAACAGAAATTTTAGGTAAAACTAATATTTTAAATGAGAGTAATAATATTTTTTAAATATTTACGTTATAGGCCTAGAATTATACAAACGATCCGTGTAGTGGTGGCCAAACAAACAATGAGATAAGCAACAGCATCCTCCTAAACAGTAAAAGTCGTTTCTATGATTCTAATATCTTTCGATTAGGTTCCGCTAATGGTTACTGAAGGCAAATTAGTGGTTTTTAGATTTTTTGTCTGTGTGTTTATTTTCCTCGATCCACGCAAAAACTACTAGACAGATTTTCATGACAGTTAGGGTATTTTGAGAGGTAGTTTGTGATCCGGGACAACTGACGACTTTTGATCTGATTCCCCAGGATATTAATTTCAATTTTATATGATATAAAGCTTTAAGTTAGTTTTAAAAATTACATTATAATTTGAACTATGCTGACAACCTACGTTTCATCTTTTCAAAACAGTGCCATTAAACGTAAAATACTAAAATTAGTAACATTTCGCCTGCAGTTACTAATAAATTTAAATAATATAAATAACTTACATTTATGTCTTTAAATAATTAAATTCATTATTAATTTTAAAAAAATACAACCAATTTTTATTGGAATTAATGACTTTTATAGTACCTAACTAAATACTACTTAAATAGATAATAGTGACATCTATCGAAAATCAGAAAATCTGAGATGTTTCTAAGTTTAATTTCTAATCTGTAACATTCAAAATTTTAGTACGTATTAGTTTTTGTTATACTCTGTTATAGTTCAAATAAAGATAATTTACATATGTGTTCACCAGATTTTAGAATTAATAATATCATAAAGTACTAGTCGATTGTTGCGAAATGGTGGCATTTCATAAAATTTAACACTGTTTTTTGACTATATTTTGATATAGCTTGATCAAATCAATGAATAGAGATCATTTGGCGATATTAACAACTAAACACGACATTGCTATTTCTTGATATTGTTATATCATGAAATATTTTTATTACACCTCTAGCAGCTTTAACAGCGCATTTTTGCCAAAAGCAGAATTTCAAAAAAATATTCATCACTTTAATGCCTAATTTATATATATATATATATATATATATATATATATATATATATATATATATATATATATATATTATATAAATGTTTGCGACTTGGTAACGAAATTGTACTACCACAGTCGCACGTCAATTTATTGTCGTCGAGTACTAGAGGGTACAATTTTGGTTTTCATCGTTTTAATCTAATAATAGTGCTACTTACTGCTAAATAAATGAAAAATGAGTACATGAAGAGGGGCAAAAATCTATGTCCTAGAAAAAAGCTTTTCGAAGGTCCCCAAGTCGTATCAAAACTAATGAAATTAAAGACAATTCTATTGAATACTTCTTGCAGATTCAAAAATTGTCGTACAATCCAGACTAGGGGCCAGACTAGGGATTAAGAAAGAGGGAGAAGGTTTTTGGTTGAATACGTTGGGCTTGGGAATCCTTCGGCATAGGTATATTTCAGCAGCTTCTTTTAGTATCAAGTTCGTGATATCGTTAAATGACCAATTACTAGTTGAATATGGTCCACAATCGTGCAAAAGCTTCTTTTTATCTTTTATTAGTTTTACTTAAACAAATTATAGAGCCGTGTAGCTCATCTTAAGATTTCATAGCACAAGAACAAATATGTACGACTCCCGCGAGGATCAATGAAATTGGTAAGAAAATTTTATTTCCTTATTTTCCACGGTCTAAGTGAAGTCGTGAATAATAACTTCGCAGGAATACGAGTAGTTTAAAAAAATCGTGGACGTATGAAAACCGCTGTTTTGCACTATGGGTAATTAGAAGCCCAAGACGTATGAAGTGCTTTTTTACTTTTTACTTTTGATGACACTTGTAAAACAGTTTGTATTAAGATAGCTTTCATATTTTTAGACATATTAAGATTCTTGTGACGATCCCAGTTTCTTAACTCACATAAGTAAACTCGAACAGGCTCTTGGAAAAATTACTATAAGTATCAAAGACAGAAAATTTTAAACACAATTTTTTTAAACTAGCTTTTCCCTGCGACTTCACCCGCGTGTAATTTAGGATTTTAATTTTTTTGCGTGAAACCCTAATTCTTTTTATAAAATAAATGTAGCTTTATAACATCAGCTATGTGCCAGTGATAGTTTCGTCAAAATTGGTCCAGCCGGTTCACAGATTAGCCGGAACAAACAGAGAGGCAGATAAAAAATTTCATAGTTGTGTTCTTGTTATAAGTACAGTATAAACTGTCATATGCATTAAGTAAAAAGCTCTTATTTTAACATTTGTATAGATATGAATGGAATAGCACTGATAGAATTTTGAGTCATCTGTCAAAGTCGGTAATCGAACCGATCCAAACAATCCAAAAAAATTTTTTCATAATACGTAAGCAACACAAATTCGAACAGCACCGACACCACTCATATTTTAATGGCAATAAATGGCAAATTACCACGTTCTCGATAGTGAAGGAAAACATTACGAGGAAACCTGCATATCTGAGAAATTAAATTTATATTTCGGAATTTATTTTTAGGTATATGACATGAGGTCGGTCATCCCGCGTTGGAGTCAACTAAATCAACTCTTTTTTGTCCTAAAATTTTCTGCGGCGTGTGCCCAGTGTTGTGATGAATATGGGCTGCTACTTTTTTGTTTTTAATATTATACATTGCTAAACATTGCTGATCATAGGCTTCCCCCATTATTTGTCATATAGGTATATAGGTATATTTGCAGTAGCAGCCACGCTTGGCAAGCGGGTTGGCAACCGCAGTAGTTTTATTAGAAGATACTGGAATCCCTCTCCTGTTTCAGTTTCCCTCCGACTCTTCTAACTTTTACTGTGTAAACAAGTTACTAAAATCACAAGTGATATTAAGCAATTCTACAAGATGGAATCGACTGGAGGCGAATAACTTGAGGTCATCCATATAGAAAAGTTGGGTCACTTTTGTCCCTCTCCCTTCCGAAGCTGAAATTTCCTCCCGGAGTCCTCCAGTAGGTACTGCGACGGTTCAGGGAGAGGCAGAACCAGATTGGACTCAAACAATCACCCTGAAAAATTTATCCTTATTCGGGTTTCCACATCCATCATCCGCTTACCTAGGTGACAAAGGATTGTACTCCACTGCCCCATACACTTCCTGAGAAAGTCTCTAACTATACAATCGACCTTGTACAGCTCAATAAACCTCTTTAGCCATGTATGGGGTACCTAGTCGAATGCCTTTCTATAATCTATCCAGGCGGGAGAAATTCCGACGGTTGAGTTTAACCACTTTGTTACTGACAAAGTGAGGTTAGGAAATGAAGTGAGGAGTTGTTCCTTGATTTCACGACCGCCGCCGCGACATCAATTTTGAGCAAGCCACATCACCTGATTTAAATCCAGGTGACAAATGAATCGCGTACTCAAAATCGTGTCACGTGTCTTATATCTGCCCTATTACGGCGGTATTTGTTTGGGTCTGTGGAATCCCGGTATTTAGGAACCAAATGAGTGACCCCATTAGCGAAAAGTGCCAATAATATGACATACTGCCAATGTGGCGCCAAAAAGAATTGAATCCGTCTCGCAAAGGTCCCGGCTGGCTTTCAAATAGGTCACCAGCATTGAATTTAGAGCCCCCATGATAGCCCGATTCCGCTTGCTTACGGTCATGCGGGGAAGTCGCGGTCGATTTTAAAGATGTGTACTGCGTGTTTCCCTTGCCTCTTTCAATGTACTTCTCATTCATGCTCCATCATAATCTGAATTAACCGCGCGCTGCTCTTCAACTTGATGCACCTCATCCTCAGCCTCGTATTTTCAATCGATGAGGGTACAGCGTCACGTGTTAGCCTCTCGATTTTGGTGCATTATAGATAGCCCGAGCTCAGCAAAAAGTAGATGCATCCTAGCCCAGTACGCAAAACCTCCAATTCCTCCCCCTTTCACCTTAACATACGCCCGCAATGCATTGCTATTTACTTGTATTGTCCAACGCGTGCGGCGCACTCCACCAGTGGCGGGTATCGTTTGCTGGGCCTTGGAAGACCCTGCTAACATCAAGCCAGCTGGTGGGGATGATGGTTGCGAGGAACTGCTGGGTAATTGTGCAGCACCTCACACTTGACTGGCGGTTCGCATGCTGTCATGTTCGACGCGACCTGGCGACCTCCAAGCAGTGACTCTCTGCGTGTTCTTCTTTGTTTCATCATCCATTTAAAGGGCGTCAGTTAGCGGGAAACCCTCAGACCCAGCACCATTTCTTGGTGAGGCCATGTGCACAAGCGGGCTTTTGCACCTTCAATTTCGCCGAGGCACGGCACTAACACCTCTTGGCAATGTGCTGACTGACTGCGCTGACGTAGCAGTTTTGTCACATAACCGTTACGTCAGCGGGCGATAGGGTCGTCGCTTCCCTACGCCATATTATTCATATTATTATTTTATGATCTTCATTGGACGATATTATGTAGTGAATACTCTTACTTCACCACTACACGGCAAAGTAAACGCTACAAAAATCAAACATAAAATTATACAATCATTCAGGCTCGCGATATAAATGGATTAAGTGTGGAGCACTACGCAGTCGACTCTCGTAATTTGGAGGTTGTTCAATATATTCTGGACAAGGATGGAGACGTTAAAGTACGGGACAGCAACGGATGGACACCATTATTTCGGGCAAGTAAGTAAAGATCACTCGCTCACCTTCGATTTGCCGACGATATAGTCCTTATGGCAGCATCGCTAGAGGGTCCATGCACTACGCTCAATGACCTCAATAGCGTCTCCCAACAGATAAGTCTTAAGATGTTGGGAGCACTAAGCTTGAAGTAATTGACAAGTATATTTACCTGGTACAATAGTCCAGCGTGGTAAGTCCAACTTCGACTAACAGGTCAATCGACGTATTCAGCTGGGCAGCGTTCGGGATTTTTTTTATAGGACAGGGTGACAAACGAACCACAGTCCACCTGATGGTAAGTGGTTGCTGTGGCCCATAGACATCTATATATATCCCCGATTACGAATTAAAATGCAGATGCGTTGTCACCCGTGAGGACTAGATGGAATGCGTCTTTTCCAGTAAAAAGGGCCTCGATTCTCTACACTCACCATACGAAACACAGCATCATTACGCCACTATTTTACGCTGCTATTCTGTGAGAGCGTGGTCCTTCCCCGGTCGAACCGACCCATTCGTGCTACAACTATACTACTAATATAACTGCACCATGGCTCTACCACTTATAAAACTACGACACATCTTCTCGTCAGATATACCTCAAAACCTTAAAACTAGATTGTACAACCAGTGCGTGTTGCCAGTGATGACCTATGGGTCTGAAACGTGGTCCTTCACTGCTGGCCGTATGAGGGCTATGCTCGGAGTTTTTCTGCATGATAGACTTAAAAACGATGACATCCGCCGTAGAACCAGAATAACTAACATAGCCCAACGGATAAGTAAGCTGAAGTGGCAATGGGCCGGCCATATAGCTCTAAGAACCGACAATCGATAGGAAATAGAGGTTCTCGAGTGACTTTCCTCTGCTAGATGTAACTACCTGGTAAAACATGCAGGAAGTCAATGCAGGCAGGTGGCTCGGGACTATGCTTTGTGGCGTTCCTCGGGGGAGGCCTATGTTCAGCAGTGAACTTGTGAAGGGCTGTAATGATGATGATAATAATTAAATGAAGATTCTTCATAATCACCAAATAATTAGAAGTAAGGGAAGGGTTTCTTTAACAGAAAGGGAAAGAAAAGGAGTCGAACCTTCCTACCTAAGATTCCATCTAGTTGGGTACCGCCCTCTGACCTAACTTCGCCACATAAATAAACTTTCATGCACTACAGTGGTGTGATCTGAAAGGTCTTAAGAGCCGGAATAATTACAGACTTTGATGCATTATATCGTAGTCCTTAGAATCGTCATTTCTGCGGACTAATAAAATGCCTTCTTTATTTTAGTTATATGCGCATATCAGTATCACTAGAACTGTAAGTGTATGCGTGGTACTTCATTTAAAAAAACTTTACGGTATAGATCAGGAGGTACATCTCATTTTCGATCTAGTAGTGGAACAAAAAAAGTAGGCAACGAGTTTTAGCTCTTCACATTGCAGATAGTCTGCCCCATAGACACCCATGTAGGGTTATGTGTATGTCTCCCACACCTATATAGACTAGGGTAGGACCAAGCTTCCATAAAATATAAGCGTAAAATAGAAGCTTAATATTGTTATGTACTGTTGTGTTTTGTATGTTGAATGTAGAGAACCGAAGACCCTTTTTTATTTTTATAAAAAGAATATTAACAATGCTATAAACATTACTAATATTCCCCTTAACCGTGGTAAGCTTAAATTGCTTGTGTTACGAGTGGTTCACGCCAGTAGTCAAATGGCGGATTCGAACCCACGACCTTTTTGAGTTTGCGGTCCGCACCCTACCATTAGGCTACTGTCCCTTTTAACTGCACATGAGGCATTACGTCCTTGTTTCCAGAAGTGATAACACATCTGCATTTTGCTTTTTTATTGAGGACAGATGTGGATGTCTATGGACCACAGTATCCACTTATCATCAGGTGAATTACGTGCTCGTTTGTAACTCTTATTCAATAAAAAAAATCAGGGTGTAGCTGTGTCGTGGACACGGCCGGGTGTTCAACGTGAATACATGTACGTAACGAAACGACATCAAAATGGCAGCGCTCCCCTCTACGCCGCGCATTATATTACAGTCCTTACTCAACGAAATCTTTGATTCTTTAGCTATTAAGTGGTGTAATCAAATTTTGGATGTAGATCATATATATGTAACTGCAACACCAAACTCTATTCCCTGATTTTGTTATGATCAGTTTTTTGAATTGCGTCCCACTATGAAAGGAAATTTAAACACGTATTCAAATCAAAATATTAAACCTCGATTAAGGATCAAAATACAGCAGCGTTGTTATATTTCACTGACGAAATGCCTCGTCTGCAGTAAAAATGTCTCCGGTTCATTACACTTACATTATCATTCTATGCGAGCGTGGTCCAGCCTCTATCACGAAGTTAGTTAGTTACAATACGCTACAGTCTGGCTCTTCCGTATTGTTACGAGCTTGAGGTTCGTGACAATAAAAATTGCCGATAAAATTACCTAAATTAACACTTTAATTTACTTTACACAATTAAAGTTAAAACACTAATAATTTAAACACACTAATTCACTTAATTCCACTCCGAAGCTTCGCTTGTTTCGCCCAAATCAACACTGCCTCCATCGCATCTTGCAGCGCCTATATATTTGAATTAGCAAAGAAATATCCAGAATGTTCAAGTAAACACGCGGAAGGTATCGAGCGTTCGAGTTTCGACTAGGCGCTGTCAGTTGAGCGATTTGTGATGTCATTTTCTCAATGCTCCCCTCGCTCTCGTTCCTGACACTAGATGGCGCTAGTTGACTTATTCATGCAACACTGCCCCCTCCTAAGACATGCTCGTCCCGAGCATTATCGGTCCCATAATAACGCGCCAAGCGATCCACATGGACGATCTTAGGAGTCCCTCTTGCGCCTTCCTGTATCCGGTAGGTCACATCGTTGATCCTGGTTACAATCCGGTACGGGCCGTCCCATTTAGCTTGAAGCTTAGGAGATTTCTCTTTGCTGCGGACTGGATTGTGCAACCACACAAGTGAACCTTCGTCGAAACCTTTGTTGTTCATTTTGCGGTCATACCGGGTTTTCATCTTTTCAGACATTTGCTGGCCCGATTGTCTGACGTGCTCATAAACGTCATTCATTTTTTTCCGCAAGTCATTTGCATAATCGGTTATACTGCGTGGAGCATCGGGTGGTATCCCGGTGATCAGGTCTGCAGGCAGCCGTAATTCTCTTCCAAAGTTTGCGAAAGCTGGTGTCACTGCTGTACTTTCGTGAACAGAACTTCGATATGACAACAAAAACGGTTGTATGTGCTTGTCCCAATCTCGTTGCCGATTGTCTACAACTTTTGCTAGGTACCTCTCCAATGTCTGATTAAATCGTTCCACCATTCCATCAGATTGCGGGTGATAAGAAGTCGTTCTTGTTTTATGAGTACCCATAACTCGGCAAGTTTCCTGGAATATTTGAGACTCAAAATTCCTTCCTTGATCGCTGTGAATCTCTAAAGGTACTCCAAAACGACAGAAGACTTCATGAACTAGTTTATCTGCAACTGTTGAAGCTTCTTGATTTGGAATGGCGAAGACTTCTGGCCACTTAGTGAAGTAATCCATCACAACAATGAAATACTTGTTACCGCTTTCACTCTCCGGAAACGGCCCCGCCACGTCAATGGCTATTCTCTCCCATGGTGCACCAACATTGTACAACTTCAATGCACCTCTACTACGAGTCTGAGGTCCCTTTACAGCCGCACAACTTGTACATTTGCGACACCAGTCCTCGACATCGTTTCGACAGTGGACCCAGTAAAACCGTTCTCGGATCTTCAATAGAGTTCGTTTAACTCCCAGATGGCCTCCTGAACAATCATTATGGTACAGCTGTAGAACATCCGGTACTTTAACTTTAGGGACAACCATTTGCAAATGACAGCTGTCTCCCCGAACGTTTTCCCATTTACGACACAGAACTCCATCCTGAAGCAGCAAGCTGTCCCACTGGGCCCAATAGCTTTTAGTGGTCGAACTCATCGCTGAGACGTCACTCCACTTGGGCTTGGGAGCACTGGCCTTTATCCATTCCAGAATCGGCTTGATATCCGGATCTTCCTGCTGTGCATGTAGTAAGCTGTCCTTCCACTCGTTGCTGAGGTGGTCTGCCCTGAGCATCCTCACGGATACCACTTCCTTACTCTCTTGCCTAGTACAATGTTTGCAATCTTCAGGACAAGGTCTTCTTGACAATGCATCTGCGTTGCCATGAGATTTTCCGCTGCGATGTTCGATCTCAAAGTCGTATTCCTGCAGTAGTTCAATCCACCTCGCAACTTGTCCTTCTGGGTTTTTAAACTGCAATAGCCATTTTAGTGCAGCATGGTCAGTTCGTAAGTGAAATTTTCGTCCCAGAAGATATTTGCTAAAATGTTGCAACGACTTTACCACAGCTCCGGTTTTGACAACGACTTGCTGAAGTACGCTATCACGACCTCTTGGTCACCATTCCGTTGAGACAACACACCGCCGAGTCCTATATCACTTGCGTCTGTGTCAACTATAAATTCTTTGCTTGCATCAGGGTATCCCAAAATAGGTGTTTTGCACAGACGGTCCTTGAGCTCCTGGAATGCGATATTGCAACTTTCATCCCAGCAGAAGTGTCGCTTCTCCTCGGTTAGCTTGTGCAGAGGTTTGGCTATATCTGCAAAGTTCTTCACGAATCGCCGGTAATAGGAGCACAAACCCAAAAATGCTCTAACCTGCGTCTTGTCTTTTGGAACCGGCCAATCCTTGACAGCGGTGATTTTCTCTGGATCTGTGCGGATACCTTCTTCCGATACTACAAACCCCAAAAAGTTAACTTGCCGTTGAAATAGTGAACATTTCTTCGGGCTCAACTTGAGGTTGGCACTCTGAATCTTCATGAGCACGCGTTCCAGGTTTTGAAGGTGTTCCTCAAACGTACGGCCCACGATGATGATGTCATCCAAGTAGACCAGACAGGCATCGCCAATTAGCCCAGTAAGTACAAGTTCCATCAGCCTTTCAAACGTTGCTGGGGCATTGCACAACCCAAACGGCATTACTTTGAATTGCCACAGACCCTTTCCCGTCGAGAACGCAGTTTTCTCCTTGTCCTTAGGGTCAATTTCAACTTGCCAGTAGCCACTTTTTAGATCCAGCGTGCTAAACCATTTTACTCCTGTAAGCATGTCCAGCGTGTCATCAATTCTTGGCAAGGGATAGCTGTCCTTCTTTGTAACGTCGTTCAGACGGCGGTAATCAACACAGAACCGCATGCTGCCATCCTTCTTTTTCACCAGCACTACTGGTGAACACCATGGACTAGAGGAAGGTTCAATAACACCATCCTTCACCATTCCTTCAATCATGGTTTCCACTTCCTTTTCACGTGCTACCGGCAATCTTCTTGGCCGCTGACGGATAGGCAATTCCTCTCCTGTGTTTATTTTGTGTTGAACTAGGCCAGTCTTTCCTATGTCAGCATCATTTGATGAGAATACATCGGCGTACTTGAGTAACAACTTCTTCGCCTTGACCAATTCGTTCGGGGACAGAACACTGCGACAGTCTTCCAAAAGTGTGGTCACTCTCGTTTCTGAATCCTTGCTGGGGGTCCCACTCGATATATATTGGCACTGACGTAACCAATCCACTTCCTCACAAGTACCAACCAGTGTGCCTTTTTCTATAATCTGTTCCCGGTCGCAAAGGTTCAGCACACGTACTCCTGAGATGTCAGTGGTCCTGACCAAGGTTCGAGCTACTTTCCATGGAAGGTCATTGTTTACCCTTTCCACAAGTACACAACGGTGAGCTTGCCCAGCGTTTCGAGGTAGACTAACCGGAACAATCGTTTCCGATCTCGGCGGAAGAACAATCTTCTTGATGCTGTACACGTTCCCTGGTAACGCACCTTCCATAAAAAGTTCCTCCTGTCCACATTTCAAAACACCTTGCTTAACGTCGATCTCACAACAATTATTCCTCATAAAGTCTAGGCCTAAGATGCAGTCGTCCATTATATCAGCCACGATGACATTATGCAGGTAGATCACGTTGCCTAGCTTCAACTCCATCTCCTTCTCTCCACGGACGGGTATACGCTGACCGGTGGCTGTTACCAAATTAAGGCGTTCTCGGTTGTATGCGGAGTCCCCAAGGAACTGACTTATAAGTTGGGAACTAACAACCGTACGAGAGGCTCCAGTGTCTATGGTCAGCTTACACGGCATTCCGTTGATCTCGCCCTTTATGATTAGGCTGTTCCCATCATGGGTTTGTGAGATCGAGATCCTTGGGGCTCTTTTAACATCAGCCAGCACCCGCCCCGCAGTTCTGGCTTTTACTCGTTTCCCTGCCGCTGCTGGGCGGTGCTGTTGGCCGCACTACCCTCCTGAGATCGTTCAATTTCCCTTTCTAGGGTTCGCTTAGGGCAGCTGGATCGAAGATGGCCCTTTTCCCCACAGCCATAGCACCTTGGGCTGTATCCTTTGCTGCGGTCACGGACTGTAGCTGCTGCAACCTCCCTGACGCGATGGGAACGATGATCCTGCCGCACGGCTTCCACTTCCAGTGCATGGGCCAAGGCGTCCTTAAGCGTCTCGTGGTGCCCGAGCCTCACAGCAGCTCTGACTTCCAGGTCGCGGATGCCGTCGATGAATGTCTGCACCAGGTTCCCTTCAATGAGCGCAGGTACAGACCGGTATGCTTTTCGCACCAGCTTCTCCACTTCTAGAGCCCACTGCTGCAGGTTTTCGTTGATGCGCTGCACACGATCTTTAAGCTGCGCACGAAAGACGTGTTCCAGGTGAGCGTCGCCATATCTCGCCTCCAATGCCTCAAGGAGTTGCTCATAAGTCACTTCCTCACCGAGAGCTTCCAGAATTGTTAAGGCCTGGTCGCGCAGGCCTAGTGTGAGAGCAGTCATGGCCTGACTTTTATTCCAGCCGTTCGCCTTCATAACAGCCTCGAACTGGATTTTGTAGGCTGACCAGGAAGAAGTCCCGTCGAATGGTGGCACCTTGAACCCACGTAGCGAAGGTGTAGTAGCTACTACGGGAGCTGTAGTTCCCTCCCCAAGTTTGAGTTCGTCAAGTGATTTCCTCATGTCAGCCATTACGTTGTCAACCCGATTGTTCACTTGGTCAATTCGGGTTTCAGCTTCCGACAGGCGGTTTTCATGTTGAGCAACCTTATCCTTCACCTCCCTTATCTCTTTCCCGAAGGTAGCGTGAAGGTCCTTCATGAGAAGCATCTGTTCCTCCTGTCGGCGGGCCTGTTCCTCTTGTCCGCTCTGCAGCTGCTCTTTCAACTGACGGACCTGTTCCGCCTGGTGACGAACCTGTTCATCCTGTCCACCCCGCAGCTGCTCCTCCAACCGACGGATCTGTTCCTCCTGTCGGCGAGCCTGTTCCGCCTGCTGATCTGCTAACCGACGGGCCTGTTCTTCCTGTCTGCTCTGCAGCTGCTGCAGCATCACCATCAGAGCACCTAAGTCAGGTGCTGCAGATGTAGGAGCTACCGACGGGCCTGCAGACGGTGGCTGGCCCTCCGACGTCTGCGGCGTTGCACCACCAAATCTTCATTGGTCCGTCTCCTGCTGGCGTTGACTTCGGGTACGGACACCCTCCGTTTCCTCCTTAGGTAAAATCGGCATTATTTTATCCCACTTCTGACACCAATTGTTACGAGCTTGAGGTTCGTGACAATAAAAATTGCCGATAAAATTACCTAAATTAGCACTTTAATTTACTTTACACAATTAAAGTTAAAACACTAATAATTTAAACACACTAATTCACTTAATTCCACTCCGAAGCTTCGCTTGTTTCGCCCAAATCAACACTGCCTCCATCGCATCTTGCAGCGCCTATATATTTGAATTAGCAAAGAAATATCCAGAATGTTCAAGTAAACACGCGGAAGGTATCGAGCGTTCGAGTTTCGACTAGGCGCTGTCAGTTGAGCGATTTGTGATGTCATTTTCTCAATGCTCCCCTCGCTCTCGTTCCTGACACTAGATGGCGCTAGTTGACTTATTCATGCAACAGTATAAATATGTGTCTTGTATGTTCTACATGTACTCTATATGCTCTAGCTCAGATTCTGTCACGTTATAAAACAACTTTGTTGTAGCTTTTGATAGAGCCACGCTGCAGCTATATTATTCTTGTAACATGAATGGGTCGGATCGACCGCAGTAGGATTACGCTGTTACAGAATACCTGCGTAAATGGCAGCTTAATGCTGCTGTGTTTCGTAAGCTGAGTGTAAAGAACCAAAACCTCTCTTTACTATAAAGGAAGCATTCCATCTTAGTCCTCAGGGGTGATAACGCAACTGTATTTTGATTCTTAATCTAGGATAAATATAGATTTCTATGGTCATCACACATACACAGCGTCCACTTACCATTAGGTACCATTATTCTATAAAATAAAGATCAGAAGCCAAGCCTTGACATAATTTCACAGTACGTGAGCAAAGTGGTTTCTATTTTCGCAGGTACTAATGAAATTATATTCAGTTTTCGTCAGGCGTCTCTTCCAACACCCATGGGATAATATGTGGATATTCTTATACCACTTCAAGTTTTTATTATTTCATTTATATTATTTAGTTTTATTACTACTAAATTAATTACAATATTAGTTTGTCAGGGAGCAGATACGGAGATGATAGAAGAGCTTATATCCCGCGGTAGCAGCATCAACGTCACAGACCGTGCCGGACTCACAATCGCCGCTGCAGCGAGGCTACTGAAGGACAATGTGTAAGATTACCATTTAGTACGGGTAATTAAGCTGAAGTGGCGATTGGCTGGCTATATAGCTGAATTAACCGACAACTGATTGAGAAGAAAGGTCCTCGAGTGGCAGCCTCGTTCCGGTAAGTGAAGTATAGTGCGGCCCCCACTATATGGAGCAGGAGTCGATAGATGCTTGTGACTCAGGGCCGTGCGTTGTGGCATTCCTTGGAGGAGGCCAATTTTCAGCAGTGGACTCGTAAAGAGTTGTAATGATTTTAATGATAGTGATGTTCATAAATAATTATAATATCTTTGGATTACCAAAAATATAAATAGAACTTCAAATCATTGAGACTTGATAAGAGTGCAAATTTACAAGGCGATCGGCTGTCTACAGGTTGATGATAATTACATTAAAAATTTGTTACATAGATAGATAAAGAAGCACACGAAGTTAAGGAAAGCGTGTTAAAAATAGAACTTATTTTCTACTAGATGGCTGATCATTGATGATGATGATGAAATTGCATACAATTGGCCTTTATTTGTTGTCCATTCTCTACTTCCTCATCGGAAAAAAATTCTTCATAATGGATGTAAAATCGCTCATTCTCACAAAAATCGTAGGTCTAATAAGTACTTATAAGGCTATGAAGTATAAGTAGAAAAAGAAACGCTCTGAGCATAAAACTCACATGTCCTTTCGTCTATTTTCTTTTTTTCTTCTCTTTTCTTTTACGTAAATAAACGTTACGTAGAACACATTTTACTCAGAATATTGTGGGATTCAAACCCGCAGCCTTAAGCACCGCAACTCAATGCCAAGCCTCTGCGCCACAAAGCTGTCATAACCTACTTTGTTTAAGAATAAAACTAAAAATAGTTGTTTCCACTATAATTATATAGGAACTGCACTAACTGATGCCCCCTCACTACGCTGGGTGCACGATAATAGATGATAATAAAGTAGGTAGATATAAAATATTAAGTTTTTATTATGGGACTATCGTAAAATCCGTTCTTATTGAGCGTCTATATTGCGAAATGTGTAACTAACCAAACCAAGTCAATCGGGTGAATAGTTTCAGAGATATAGTGATGAGCCAGTCAGTCAGTCGGTCAATTTCACTCATATATTTTGGATCCTTACATATGAAATTTGCGTTTTGTCGTACTTACCACTTTGATCTGAAATATCTTCTCTTTGGTTAAGAATTCCAAAGTCAAATTTATAAATTCATTTAGCTGGTACATTTGAGTTTTGTAAACAGTCATTCATTTGTTTTTTGCTCATTATATTTTTTCATTGACGTCGCTTATTACCGCACAATGGAAAACATGAAATATCAGTATATTTACGAGTACGAGTTCTACCGTGGTACCAGTGCTGCAGAAACAGCTCGAAAGATTAATGATGTGTACGGCGCTGGTATCGCAAAAGAAATCACGGTACGTTTTTGGTTTCAACATTTTCGTTCTGGAAATTTCGACCTTCAGAACCAACCCCGTGGACGGCCGAAGACCAAAGTGGAAAATGAAGAATTAAAGACCATTGTGGAAGCGAATCCATCACAAAGCACTTCAGAGATAGCTGCGAGCTTCGGAGTAAGTGATAAAACTGTATTAATCCACTTGAAGCAAATCAGGAAAGTGGAAAAACTTGAACGATGGGTACCTAATGAATTGAGTGAATCGAACTTGCAAATACGTGTCGACTGCTGTGTTACTTTGCTCAACCGACACAAAAATGAAGGGATTTTAAATCGAGTTAGTGGATATTGTACAATAATCGGCAGCGCTCGTCGCAATGGCTGAACCCTGGAGACCCAGCCAAATCCTGCCCTAAACGAAAATTGACTCAGAAAAAGTTACTTATGAGTGTTTGGTGGACTAGCGCCGGTGTCGTTTAATACAGCTTTCTAAAATCCGGCCAAGCGATTACGGCAGATACCTATTGTCAGCAACTCAAACCATAAAGGAGGAAGAACTAGCTGCTAAACAACCGAGATCGGTCAATCGCTCTAGGCCACACATTGACGCAAGACCACACACTGCACAACAAACAACCACTAAGTTAGATGAGCTACAATTGGAATATCTGCGATATTCACCGTACTCCCCGGACCTTGCTCCAACAGATTACCATTTTTTTAGGAATTTGGACAAATTCTAACGAGGAAAAATGGTTTTTTTAGTAAAGGGATCAATTAACTACATACGAGATGGAAAAAGTGCATAGATAAGAACGGTGCATGATTTGATTAATTAAATATATTTTACAAAAAAGAATTGACTTTATATTTCTCCCGTATAAAATGCCAATTCCATATGTAAGGACCTATATATATATATATATATATGCATTACTGCCTATAAACTACCCTACAGCCTACTACTGAACATGGGTCTCCAAAGATTACCTTTTGCGTTGGAGTACTTTGCCATAGTTGCCACACTTGGCAGGCGGGTTAGCAACCGTAGTTTTTTTATTATTTTGAGTTGTTTTTGTTTCCCTTTGTCGCACGCTACGACACCCACGGGATGATATCGCGTAGTGGATGTTCTTACAGCGCCACCACATGCTTAATTACATAATTATTTAACCAAATATATCTAACTTGGTTCATTAGCTTGGTTCATCAGCTAAAGTATACGGTAAACGAAGTGGCGCAATTATTCAAACAACGTATTACATAAATATAATGTGTACAGCGAAAACTAATCAAGGAGTGCTCGGATCATTTGTCTTGTTTTTACTATCGCACACTATACAACTTCGTCAGCATACGTGAGAAATTGATTATCTTTTAATTTTCCCCGGATGCAGGTGGAATGTATAATAATATGCTTTTAGATCATTATGGTTTTAGTAAATTTAATAATTGTGTTATATAAAACGCACACACGTGTTTTATTTTATATAAGATGGTCCACTAACCCATATGATCCCGTTGGTGTCTTGAGAGGCGATAGAGATGAGCTGATCCAGTGGATGGGCAGCAGTACTGCCCAACCGACTTGCCCAGCGTGAAAACTATGGCAAATATCTCCCCTGTGAGGCAATTTATGGGGAAGACCTAGATTCAGCAATGTTGATCTTTTTATTAGAGAGTTTTGTACCCTGGTGGTCCTATGTAAATTCGTTCAGTGTTCAGCTCAAATGATAGCGTCTTTGATAAAAACCTCAAACTCTTCAAATTGCAAAGGCATCTGCGAGACAATACTAGGCAATAATTGTTTAAAATCATTTTACATGTCTGTAGTAAAGCCAGCGCTTGATTATTATCCCACTTGATAGGTGGTGGTGCCGCAGCCGAAGATGGTAAAGCGGACTGACTTATCTTAACAAAAACTTATCCACTCTTGCCCTGTAATCTTGTAATCTTGCCGGATAAACGATGAAGCACACAAGCCTTTATAAGCTAAATATGAAACCAATTGTATAATTATTCTCTTTTATATTAACTAATTTTAAAAAGGGGGAGGTACTCTATTCAACTGTATTTATTTATGTGTGTTTCCTCAGATGTTTTTCTATGTGAACCGATTTTGATAATTCTTTTTTTATTTGAAAGCTGATACTTCTCATGTAGTTCCGTAGTTGCACTTGTTTGAATCGTAGTATGAATCTGATCAAGATCTGATCAGTAGTTTTTGAGTTATCCTTAATAATGTGTATTTAATTGACTTCGACTACATTGATGATGTTCTTATTTTATTTATATTGAAGTCGGTTGAACAGTTTTTTTTACATTTCCACTTGTTTCTTTAAAGTCGGTATTTACTTTTTTTAAATTTAATTATTAAAATTAGATGCCATAGTTGTAATTATATGAGTTCTCATCAGTGGCCGCAGGCGCGACTCGGTGCTGCAACGAGTAGATGCAAGGCTCCCGCACGAGAAGGCACTTGCACACTTCACCAGGATAACTAAGAAGATATCCAATGTACATTCAATGCTTAAATGAATTGCCTACTTACAAATATTATTAATCCATGTATTATATAAAAAAAATGTTATCCAAACATAGTGTGTCAGTGTTGTATTCTCACTTGTATTTAATAAATGAAAATAACCCTATATATGTGGTAGATATATGCTGCTGCTATAATGTGGTTGCAATATTAATTTGTCACCTTGGAGCAGGGTATAAGCAATAAGCGCTCTTAATGCTATTTTATAAGGTAAAGGTGAAAAACGAGCACACTGTCCAACTAACGGAAAGTAGATGTTGTGGCCCATAGACATTTACATTTATCATACATACATAACATACATAAACACTCACGCCTGTCACCCAGAGGGGTAGGCAGAGACTACAGACTTCCATTTGGCACGATCCTGACACACCTCTCTCGCCTCCTTCACATCCATATACCTACGCATACATGCTCGTCGGTTATGGGTACTCCTAATTTGGCCCGTTTTCAATAAATCATTAAAACATTTATCCTCGAATAAAAATCAAAATGCAGAAGCACTGACACATTAAGGATTAAGACGGAATGCACCGTTTCCAGCAGAAAGAATATCCGGATCTCTACACACACCATACTATACATAGCAGCATTAAGCTGCTATTTTACTCTGTTATTTTGTGGAAGCGTGGTCCTTCCCCGATCGAGCCGACCCATTCATGCTACACCATAATATAAATGCAGCACGACTTTACCACGTATTTAATACTCAATATTATCAACTGTATCCACGACTGGTTGTCGCATCTGGTGATAAAAGTGCTGGTTCTTTCCTCGCTCTAAGGCTTAGTATAGCCATTCAGCGAGGAAACGCAGCCAGCGTTCTTGGCACTATACCACGGGGAGCAGGACTTTTTGACTATTTCAATTTTTACTTTTAGTTTTTCTTTATTACAGTTTCTTTTTTTATACTGTGTATAATTAATATTAATTGTAAATATTATAGTTTTAATTATTATTTTTAGGTAATGTATTTAGGATTTTAAACTACTTTAACTTTATGTAATTTGACTTTCCAATAAAAATTAAAATATAGGATATTGTAAAATAATAGGTAGATTTTTTAATAAATTCGGACTTCGATGAACTCAAAAAAATATATATTGAAGTGACATATTATTCATTTACATACATACTTTTTTTATAACATAGGGTGACAAACGAACACACAGTCCACCTGACGGTAAGTGGATGCTGTGACCCATAGACATCTACATCTATATTCGATTACGAATTAAAATGGCGATGCGTTGTCACCCGTGAGGTCTAAGATGGAATACCTCGTTTCCAGTAAAAAGGGTCTCCTGTTCTCACTCACACTCACCATACGAAACACAGCAGCATTAAGCTACTATTTGACGCTGCTATTCTTTGAGCGTGGTCCTTCCCCAGTCGAGCCGACCCATTCGTGATACAACTATACTACTAATATAACTGCAGCATGGCTCTACCATATAAAGCATGGCTCTACCACGTAATCATATATTTTGATTGTATTATATTATGTGTTATTATTTGTATTTTCTGATTTTTTTTAATAAAACACAAACGAAAAGTTATCTAGTTATATTATTACAAATTAATAAAAAAATATTTACAAAATACTAAAAACTATCGGAGTATTGAATTGCATTATGTGTGTAAAAAGTGGTAACAGGTGAGGTTAAGTTTATGCAATGTCAAGGAGCTTATTGCCTAGCATTCAACAGAACTTGAAAGATACACATTATTTTATTTTAATAAATACCCCACAGCCTATTCCCCCTACATTTAAATACAATTTTCATTCACAAAATGCATTTAATGGCAAGGCTTAATAATTTAATCAAATAAATAAATTAATAAATATTTAGCTATATAATATTAGGATAATTTCAGACACAATAATAGTAATGTTAAATTTGTTAACCAATAAGTGTGTATTGATCTGTTTGCTGCAGCAACTGCTTCAAATACCACGAAACTTTTCATATCGTCATCGTCAATCTCCTCGTTTTCAAAATGTTCAGATGGTTTATCCTTGTCCTTTTCGAATTGCACCATTTTTACATCTCGCTTTTTTCGAGTTAGTCCATCACTTTCTTGTTCATCACGATCAAAATCTTCCGCTTCAATATCTTCATCATTGCGATCTTCATTGTCCTTCCTTTCTTTAACTTCGTGAGTTTCACTTCCTGCCGCTTTTATTTCATCTACTTTGATACCTTTCTTGGGCACTAGAGAACTTACCAATTTAAGATGCGTTAACGGTAAAAGGGATGACTGACTTGAGTCGTTTTTTATGTGTTCAGCTACTGGAGGTGGAATTTCACCTTTATATGGTCCAAATTGAGGCATCTTTAAAAGTAGTTCTGTGTTGGCTGGAAGCTTCGAAGAAAATAGTTTTAAGTTCACTTTATTTATATCAGGTAAACTGGTTAATGTTGCCGCTGATATAGTTTTTCCATCATAAGTTGTAAATGTCTGCTCCAGTGATAACTTTTGTGGGTGTTCTTTAGGGAATTTTGGATCTGGAGGCAAATACTGTGGACTAACTCTGTCAGACTCCATTGCTAAGTCCGAAGATAAATTTTTATCCATATTTTTTTTACCAAATAAAGCATTTAATTCGCTTTCCGTTTTTAGGTAAACAGGATGTGGTCTATCTTCTTTCGCGTGATTCGTTGGAAATATCTCTTTTGTTCTATCGTTTGTAGTAAGTAAATGGTCAGGTGGCGATGGAATAAACATAGGCTCAAATGTTTCCGTAATTTTATCACTTGGTATTTGGACGGGATAAGCGTGATTAGAAATATACTGTGGAGATTCTTCATAGTCTTCTGCCACGTCAGTGTCTTCTCTCCTGTTGGCATTCTCTACACCAAAATCAGCGATTCGATCTTCACCAGCCATTAAAGGTTCTCTTATTATGGGCTTAAAACCACTTTCAATAACAATAGAATCTGGTTTAAACCCTGTATTAACTGCTGGTCGTAACGTAGAAGATTCAGAAGACTGGCCTATAAAATCTGAGGATTTAATTTCATTTTGTGGTGGATGTTGCTCATGTTTTATTTGCGGAGTTGATGATTGAGGAATTTCGGGTAAATATTGTGTTTTAGATTGCTGCTGCTTTGTTTGAATCATTTGCTGATCTAATGGAATTGGATTCTCGACGAGCTTACCCAAGATAATTTGACCCTGTCCTTGTGGCTTTGCTGTGAAGATTTGTGGAACACTATGTTGAGCAATGGCATCACTAGTTCCTGGTAGAGTTATTTGGCTTTTCACGACTTGGTTAGCTATTATATCTGTTTTTCCTAGACTCAGAGTTTGACTTTGCGGTGGTGTTGGAATATTATGTCCTAATTTTCCTGTAGTTATAGAATGAAAAGAACCATTTGGTAAATTTGTTGTTCCTGGATTGAATTTCATAGGAACTTTATTGTGACTAGCCTTGATATTATATAGTGGGGGCATCGATTTCATAGGTGGTATATTTGGTAGTGGTTGTCTATTCATGGTAGGTGGTACACGGTTGTTAGAATATTTATTAAAAGGTTTTTTCTGCATTCCATGAGAGGCATGAGGATTTGGCATTGATAATGGGTAACCTCCATTATTATTTTTCTGATTCATATGAGGAGGAGGCCTCCGTAAAATGATTTCAGGAGGAAAAGGACGTCTAAAATGTAGTCTAAAATTTCCTGCAGATTTGCTTGGCATATTAGGTCTTAAAACACTTTGAAGTGTTAACGGTTTTTGGTTAGGTGGTAAGAGAAAACTGTCTGGAACTTCTCCAATCTGTACCATGTATTCATCACCTTCATGAATAGGTTGCTCAGGCATAAATTCCTTGACTTCCTCATAAACCTGATACTGGTGTAGGGGTTTCTGAGGTAGGTGCGTGGCATTCCTCTTCATTTCACCTTTCATCTTGTCCTCCAAGCTCTCCACAGTTTCAATAACTTCTTTTATTTGTAATTTGGATATCGGCAATTCATACTCCTTTGCACTTGAATAAAGATGATTCCTTTGAGAAATGATTTCCCGGGAGAAGATGTCCTTATTGCTACTGAAATCGTTATAATTTGTTTTCATATTCATTATTTTCTCGAATTTCTTCTGTTCATCTAAAAAATTATTGTCAGGCTTAACACGACTTTGTACCTGTATAGACTCCTCACTAAACAAATCCCCTGGAAGAGCGACACTTTCGATTATTCTGCTTTCCTCAGCCTCTGCAGCATCACAATCGTCTACTACATTTATCTTCCAACCGAGATAACGATGTGTGAAACACTGTAAAAGAAATACTGATTACAAATCGGAATTTTTATGAAGCAATTATTAGAAATTTCTGTCACCCAGTAACGAGAGATACACAGAACTTCATGCGATACAAAGAAGACTTGAAAGGCTGAAACAGAAAATAGAAAGGTTATATACAAAGTATGCCAGGCAGAAAGAATGGAAACTAATGACCTCACGTTATGAAAACAACCATGACTGATAGCATATTTAAGCTCACAATTCAGCTCATATACTACACAAATATATTATGATTCACCTTTAACATTCAGTAATCAAACATAAATATCATTTAAATAGTGAAGAAATGGAAAGGTAAGATTATTAGCTAATGAGATCCACAAATTTAAGGATAGTGCTCGTTACGTTACTAGAAATCAATAATTTTATGATTTCATTATTTAGAACATACTTGACAAATATTGTTATTAGGATTACAAAAACATCTGAAGTAAATTGTCAAATTAATGACAGTTTTAATGAACATCGATCGTATGAGTTCTCTCACCTGATAGTAAACAGTATCCGGAGTATTTCTATCGGGGGTCCAAGTGACGACGCCCGGGTTTCCTTCTTCGCAGACGAGTGTGAGCGAGCGTTGATAAGCTCCAAAGCTGGGATACTCGTCGGCCTCTGGTCCGGAATTATCTGGCGTCCAATTACAAAGGCGCCCTACGCCCGTTGGAATCAAATCACCACTGCGTGTGCGTCGGACTCCCGCGTAGATTTCCACCCCCTGTATTATTATTTTTCTATTTAGTAAAAAAAGCTATTAAAATTATTTAATCATATAAATGCATTCACCATAGACAATCAACATGTTCTTCCTAAATTTTATCGACTAAATTGACGATACACTGAATATGAGCCAAATGAAGGGTACCCTTAAGCGACGAGCATGTATGCGTAAGTATGTGGATTTTTACCAAGTGATAGGTAATGGTTTCTTATATTTACGCGAACACTACACATTGAAATAATACTAGTTTTTACGGAATTTATCGCGTATATTTAACTTTTTAAATACCCGACGTTTCGAGAGCTTTACAGCACCCATGGTCACGGGAAGGACTGAGATGTTAAACGTCCAGATGTCATAGTTAATCGCGGTTACCATAGATTAAAATTTAACTTTTGTTCCGATCTACACAGTATGAACTTATGGTATCATGAAGTCTTGCAGTTGTATGCTTGGGTTGGGATTTAATTTTATTTATTATAGGATCCCAAGCAGATGGTAGCACCCAGCCATCTTCTCTATTGAAATTAGGATGTTTTTCGGAATCCTGATAACACCTTGAGCCATACTGTGTATAGAAAAAAGACCCATACAGATAGATATTTAAACGGTGATTCTCACCACCATCCTTCACAGTTAGCTACCGTGGGTAAATTTTTGTTTCAGAGAGCACGAGGGATCTGTGACAGTAAACACCTGGCTGCCGAGCTCCAACACGTCAAGCAAGTTTTGCATGACAACAAGCTTCGGGTTCCGCGCCTACGTCACAGAGAACGAGTGAAGCCGGCCACATTCGAGCGTGTACCTGCTGTACTGCTATATGTTAGAGGAGTCACTGACAAGATTGGCTACGTCTTGAAGCGCGCTTCCATCAAAATATACTTCATGCCGCCGAAGAAATTGAGTTTCCACAGTCAAGTGTAACGTCCCACTGCAAGATGCAGGAGTGTACAAGCTTGATTGTGAATGTGGTCTCTCCTACATAGGACAAACTAAAAGATCAATTAAAACCCGCGTTAAAGAACATATAGATGATGTGAAGAATCGACGCTCCGGGAAGTCTGCAGTCTGTGAACACGTACAGGATCGCCCCCCGTCACTATATCAGATTTGATAGACCACAAATCCTCGCTAAAGAACTCCGATTCCTTCCAAGGATGATTCGCGAGGCTATTGAAATCAAAAAACATCCTAATTTCAATAGAGAAGATGGCTGGGTGCTACCATCTGCTTAAATAAAATTAAATCCCAACCCAAGCATACAACTGCAAGACTTCATGATACCATAAGTTCATACTGTGTAGATCGTAACAAAAGTTAAATTTTAATCTATGGTAACCGCGGTTAACTATGACATCTGGACGTTGAACATCTCAGTCCTTCCCGTGACCATGGGTGCTGTAAAGCTCTCGAAACGTCGGGTATTTAAAAATTTAAATATACGCGATAAATTCCGTAAAAACTAGTATTATTTCAAAGTGATAGGTATCATGTATGACTATATAAATGTTAAAGAGGCGAGAGAGGTCAGAATCTTGCCAAATAGAAGTCCGTAGTCTTCACCAACCCTTCTGGGTGGCAGGTCTGAGTATTTATGTATGTTCTTCCTACGGTTATATGGGGGAGTTTTATCATAATCACCGCATTTTCACCATTGTATAATATAAATACGCTTATACTGCCATTTATTAAATATCGTAAGTTATTTCTAGCATTCTCTAATTCACAACGTAGGTACCATATGAAAATATATAATGTTAAAATGAAGAAATTATGTTAAATTAGTTGGAATGTAAAAAAGGATTGATTTCCCTTATGCCAGCACTAAATTATGAAAGAATGTTTTCATTTAACTTTTTTAATTATACATGTGTATCACCAAGCAACTTATTGACTGTCACTTTATACATACTTTGCTAAGTTTTTATTTCACCTTTTTTTCCTCGTCGGTCTTGTGGTAGTAGCCACCAACAGGGTCATTGGTAATGTAGAAGGGATGGTACCGAGCTGGAACTTCGGGGTTGTTGCCTCCTTCCACTACGAAGGTGTACTTGTTGCCGCGCACCACCGTGATCTCCGGGATCAGCAGACCGTTGATGTACCATGAGATTCCCCAGCCAACATGACCTGTATTTGTGTATTTTACAAGTTTTAGAATAAAAATGTGTTTATCATTCAATATCGTGAACTTTCCGGAGTCTTTAGCATATACAACGTGATTCACACAACTTTGACGTAAAAAAAATCGTTTCGTTTTCTTTTTCAAATCTACTGCCGTTTCCAAATGAGTTTCCTCTGACTGGAGAAAAATTAACGAAATAAACACATTAAAATAAAAGGAGCACTTCTCGTGATATAACAATTCCTCTGAGCATTCATCGTGGAAATGCAATAGAAACTTTGTATAATTCGACGTAAGTAATTGAAATTTCATTAGTCGAACTGCAATTCTACAAACATGAATTGTCTTAAACGCGATCAAGACGGAATGACGACCTGATAAGACATGTATGTGTAAGTTGATGGTTGCAGGTGGCTCAGGACCGTGCTTCTGCTTTGTGTCATTCGTTTGGGATGACCGACGTCCAGCAGTGGACTTGTGAAGGTCTGTAATTAATGAATAAACCGACAACAAAAATACTACTAACAATAACAACAAATAATACAAACCTGTTATTGCGGAGTAGCCTTGCTTCCCTCCAGTGGGTCCCATTTGCGCGTAGAAGACACCATCTGGAGGCTCATAGCATTGGATGCCGGGGATTTCCCAGGGCGTAACCTTCGCGGTTGGTTTCGGAGTTGGTATTGGATTGGGTTTAATTACTGTACTCTGTAAGGTAGCGTTAGATTTTTATTTGACTCTTATTTCCCTTAACTTTTGTTTGTAGCTAGTGATAAGAACACATTCTACAAAAACGGGGCTTTCGAAGTCTATCGGCTGGGCTATGCTGTATGTAAGGAAAACATAATTGAACCAAGCAGTTAGATTGCACACTGACTACTTCAGGTTATTTTTTACTTTTATTATTGTATGTCGTTACTAACTCCCCTAACATGTGATTTGATATTAGCCCGACCAAGGTATCTAACCCTAAACCACATAATCAGCTGTCACGCTTTTGACCACGAAATCTACGAGGCAGACAACTAAAAATAATTAATGGTTTGGTCCCTTGGGAGAGAGGTAAAGCCCTTGCGTGTGCTGCTTGCGTAGACACTGGCAGTCTCAGGGGTACCTCGCTTAGAGCCGGGATGGCACCAGAGGCAGCTGAACTCAGTAAGTGGCGCAAATATAATTCTCTTAGATAGCCATAGAGAGCGAGGAAATAATATACTGCGGCGAGTAGACTGCGTGATAATTTAAGTTTATAGTTTTAGTTTAGTTTCTTTCTTTGAAGCTTCCTAAGTCGGATTGGTCCGAAAAAATCTCTGGTGATAGTTGATTCTACGAACAAGTTTTGCGGGAATGGGCATCTTCAGATGGTACGGGTCGTATCGCGAGTTTTGTCGTGATATACGATGGTAAAATTAAGCGGTTAGAATTAATCGTAACAATTCTTCTAAGCAACTGCAGCCTCTAAAAAATTGTGAAGTTGTGTAATAAGAGAAGAGTGTGGTTGCTTGCTGCTTGCTGCTAAATGCTTCGGTGGTTTGGTCATGTGGAAAGAATGAATGAGGAAAGAGTGACAAAGAAAATTTATGTTGCAGAAGTGAATGGCAGAGTCGGAAAGGGACGTCCTAGGTGAAAATTTATCGACCAAATTGGCGATTTATTGAAAACGGGCCAAATTAGGAGTACCCTTAACCGACGAGCATGTATGCGTAGGTGTATGGATGTGAAGGAGGCGAGAGAGGTGTGTCAGGATCATGCCAAATGGAAGTCTGTAGTCTCTGCCTACCCCTCTGGGTGACAGGCGTGAGTGTTTATGAATGTATTTATGTAATTCCTCTAAGCACTTCCCGTAGTAGATGCTATAGAATATGCAAAGATATGCAAAATCTTTTTACAGCGCCAGTGAGTCAAACCGATGAGAAAGAAATCTGTCGTCGACGATTCGGGCTGCTCTGCGCTTTATACCATCAAGCGGTTGTAGCTAGCACTAGGTCACCCTCGCCCTGAGATTAGAACAGTATTCCTCGTAAGACCGAACTTGCATTTTGTAGAGTTGAAAGCGTTGTGCTGGCAGGAAATCCTGTCCCGCTCTAAAAAAAACACGCCAAAATTTTAGGGGCCAATTTGGCCTTCATCAGAACGTCATTCGATATATTGATGTCGAGGATTCCGATGGTACTCGTAGCTGAGGCAACGAGGGGAGTCCCTAAAACTAGTGGTTATTTTTTTTTAAATTTAAGGTAACAAATTTTGTTTAAGTATAAATGAATTTTATGTAAATAAATTATTTAAATTTCGTTAAAAATAATAAGTTGAATCCGTACCTCATGTTCTTTGTGTGGAGCGTGGTGGGGCGGCTGGGTGTTATGCGCGTGCTGTTGGGGCTCGTCCTCACCTTCCGGCATGGGGCAGTTCCACACTGGAGCCCTTCCGAACTCTATGAACCTGTCACCCTAAATCACAACCATTTAGTTAATACACTTCTTCGCTCAAAATGTAGTTTTTTTAATTATCTACGTAATTAAAAAAACTACATTTTGTACGTGGTAGAGCCATGCTGCAGTTATATTAGTAGTATAGTTATAGCACGAATGGGTCGGCTCGACCGGGGAAGGACCACGCTCTCACAGAATACCAGCGTGAAATAGTGGCTTCATGCTGGCTGCTGTGTTTCGTACGGTGAGTGTAGAGAACCCTTTTTACTGAAAATGAGGCATTCCATCTTAGTTCTCACGGGTGACAACGCATCTACATTTTGATTCGTGATCGAAGATAGATGTAGATATCTATGGGCCGCAGTAACCACTTACCACCAGGTGGACTGTGTGCTCGTTTGTCACCCTGTTCAATAAAAAAAATCTATTTCACTATGTGAAAGAGCATCTCCCGCCTTCCCTCAATATCAATACTGATATATATATATATATATATATATATATATATATATATATATATATATATATATATATATATACCGTATATCGTCACCAGTCACCACTAATCCTTTACATCACTACATTAGAATAAACACACCATCGTCGATAATACGACACGTGTTTCGCCTTCATACGAGTCATCTTCAGATGAAATAGACTCTGCGGTGACTGACTACTAACGAAATTAAAAACGGCTGTTACGTACCTTGGTGTAGTGATGATGATAAGACACTTCGTCAAGTGAATTAAGAGGTCCAATCGCCCATATAATAGTCTGGCTGGCATTGGTGTAGATGGGCAGATCAAGTTTGTCAGCGGCCTTCAGCGCACGCTGATACGTCACTATGGAGTAGCCGTTGACGAGAGCTGCGTTCAGCAGCCGGATTGAGTTTGTATTTTCCTGAAATTCAAAAAAAAATAACTTGAATTAAAAAAACAACCAGAGCTATAGCTAGAGCTCGGATTATATAAATGCTATTTTTCCCTATCTCTTAAGAATTTTGAAAAATCTTGATAGCAGCCTTACATGGCAAATTTATGAAGTCTAATAATAATAATTAAATTAATAAAGCAACTTTAAAGCGAAGAGATAAATTGTCTTTATTTTCGATCCCGTGTAAATTTCGACAAATCCTTCAATATTTTTTGTCTACATAAATAAAAGAACCTCTCTACCAAATTCGAGTATTCTCGTTCCATGGGTTTAGGCCGAACGTGAGTCTGAACGATTACAGTGAGTGAGTTATTGAGTGAGTGAATCGAGACTTGTCTTTTTATATAATATTTTGATAAAATATTTATTTACTATCAACCTCATATTAGACCCGGATCTCTGTAAAAAATACTTACAGCAAGCCTCTCATCGGGACAAGATCCGTGTACGCCAGCACACTGACTCTTGGCGTCCAGGTAATAGTCAACAGAGTAGCCTTTGAGAGTCGACTTGTCTACCCAGGCCACGGCCACATCACCACCCACCATCTGGGAGTGTTTTGGGTTGCCAGAGATACCGAACGACATGTATTCGTCGTCCTCTGTGAATAATGCAACAAATTAATTAAAAATAAATATTTTAAAAACATTTTTTTCTTACTTTGACAGCAACATGAACGGATCGACAGAGAAGGGACTAAGATCACACAGAATACCAACTTTAAATTGCAGTATAATGCTAGTGTGTTTTGTTTGGTAAGTATTAGAGAACCATGGACACTTTTTACTGGTAAATATGCATTCACATCAAATATCCCCCTATGAGGCACTTTATTGGGGATGGTGATGATAAAAAGAATGATGTAAGTGCGTGTGCCTTGTAGTGGGGGCTAAGAGAGTTCATAACTCTACCTACATCGAGACTATTGAGTACGTAAGAAAGATCTTCTAGCTTCCATCCATCTATTCATCACAGCCCACAAAAGTCCACTGTTAAATTAAATATATTAAATACATAATTATTGACTATCTTATCATACCGCTTCAGAAGCAATAGAGGGTGCTTTGCGAGTGGGTGCTTGATTTTTTCGCCTCTTCGACCTTAAAGATCTTAACTTCGGTTTCATATACTTCCTCCTAGGTTGCCTCATAGAGAGCAACCACAGTTAGTTTGAGTTGTGACGGTAAATAAAAATAAAATAAAAACCCTCCCGAAGACGGAAAAGATTCTTGTCCAGCAGTGGACTCGTAAGAGTGATGAAAACTGTTAATGCCTTCACGCCTGTTTACGATTATGCCATACACATACAAAGCAAATTACATACCAAGTCTGGCCACCAGTTGCAACACGATGCTGTCTCCGGCGATAGCCCATCGCACTTCAAACGCCAGCTCGTCGTGCAGCACCTCGCAATTCAGTTTTGACTGTAACGAAAATTGTATTGAAATTGATATATTTATATTTTATAAAGTCAAATTCGAAATTATTCTATTCAAAACTTTCGACTCGCCCTGATTTCGCGTGAAATACATAATGTAATCAAAGGTTATATATTTATCAATCTTTGTTTTATTTAAAAAAAAAGAACTTCAAAGTTCCGGACAAAATATAACCGAGATCCCTCTAAGCAGTGCTCTCTGTTCGTAAAGTTTCATCGCAATATATTGAGTCATTCCGAGATTAGAATGTACAGACATACAGACACACAAACATTTGAAATGGTCATTCATGTCTTAATGGCATGCAAACAACCCCCAAGCTGAATATAAATTAAAATCAGTTATTACGATAGTATAGACAAACCCATCGTTTTTACTTTTATGTATAGATTGGTCTTCTTAACGCACTTTTTATAGTCAAGAAGCTACGCCATCGCTCTAACAAATCCTTCTTTCGGGAGAAATTCTGAAAAACGGTAATCAACTCCCGAATAGATTTTATTACATAAAAACATAATATAAAACACTCACGCCTGTCACCCAGAGGGGTAGGCAGAGACTACAGACTTCCATTCGGCACGATCCTGACACACCTCTCTCGCCTCCTTCACATCCATACACCTACGCATACATGCTCGTCGGTTAAGGGTACTCCTAATTTGGCCCGTTTTCAATAAATCGCCAATTTGGTCGATAAATTTTCGCCTAGGACGTCCCTTTCCGACTCTGCCATTCACTTCTGCAACATAAATTTTCTTTGTCACTCTTTCCTCATTCATTCTTTCCACATGACCAAACCACCGAAGCATTCCTTTCTTAATCCTGGTGACAACACCATCTTGCAAACCACACTCTTCTCTTATTACACAATTTCTTACCCTGTCATTCAGATTCAGCCCTAACATACTCTTTAACGACCGCATTTCTACTGCGTTCATTCTACTCTCGAGCTTCTTCTGCCACACCCAACTTTCACTACCATACGTTAAAGTAGGGATCAACACAGCATTGTGAATTGCCATACGTGCCTTTTTCGACACATTTTGACTCTTCACAATAGATTGTAGGGCCCCATTTATTCTATTTCCTGCATTCACTCGTCGTTCTATATCCTTATCACATCTCCCATCCCTGCTAAATACGCAACCCAAATATACAAACTCATCTACTTGTTCGATCAACTCCCCTTCTATTCTTATTTCACATATCGTCTTACTTTCTTCTCTTTCAAAAACCATAACTTTCGTCTTACTTGCGTTTACTTTCATACCCCTTTCAATTTTATTATTTTAAAATTATATCCTATTTTCTTCCAGCATAAATCAGAAAAAGTCTAAGAAAGCTCATCATGTCCACACATTATTATATTTCAAATAATCATCATCTATTCTTCTTAAAAAGCTTTTTACTTGCATTGCATTTACGCAAAGACATATCAGTAATACTACAAGGAATCTTGTTATGGATAGTTATTTGTTAAATTGTTTTGTTAAAGATGAACTGCCGGTTTATAAAGCCTGTACTTTCACAATCACAACTCTTTGAATTAGACCGTTAATGCACAGGAAACCCCTTTGCATTGTAATTCGTTATTTCAATTCCGTTCTCCAACTTATTCTTCATCATAATCTACTTTCTACAAAACACTTTTACGTCTCTTCCATTACAATAGAAAGGTATTTATACGTAATAAGGTGATTTGCAGCAAACGTATTCCTAAGCAAGCGGATGTGCGAGTCAGACTCTACGTCTGCCATAGACAAGACAAAATAAACAATTTTCAATGAATGCCAATATACACTCACCAGATGTCGCTTGATGGTACTAAGGTCAATATATTTACTATGCAGATGATCATAAAGTGTCATCATCATTGAAACGTTGTGATTTAAAATAAAAGTTTTTGCCTTCTATTTTATGTATAGTGTATACACACAACAGTGCCTCAGTGCTGCATTATTTAACTTTTTACACATTATTATTTATTTTAATTCCGCTCTTTAGGACTATCCGTAGTTTCATTTGCTTTGATCTATATAATATAAAATATAAGTAATATTTCTGAAATAAATACAACATATAGGTTAATGTTCTATTTTTTTCCTAGTAAATTAACTCAGATATACGACAGATTTTATAGCTGGGCAGTAAAGTTTGTGAATATTTCACATATTTTCAAAGTGGCGCCATCCTAGAGGTAGAAAAAGTCTGGGATGCCTTCGTGTCGAGACTTACAGGTGTAATGGAGAGAAACCGACGGGATGAAAATAATGTAGAATTCTCTTCTGATACTACCTCAAACTTCTAAATATTCTTTTATAAAAAAGTTAGTATATAAAAAAGTTGCGAAGCATACTTAGTTCTCATTCACAATCGGCCTTTAGTTTTCATTTTACATTCTCTTTCTTCGTTTTACTTTTATTAATTTTAAATAAAATTTTATATTACTAATATATTAATGTAGTTGTTGACTTTTATAAATGAACGATCTTGACCTTTTAACTTTTAACCAATTCACAGTCTCATGCATTACATATAATGCACTGCTATTGTCTTACTAATTTAAAAATGCAAACCGGACAGTTACTTTAAACGTCCCACTGCTGGGCACAGGCCTCTCGCTCATTTCTGAAAGGGTTTTAGAGCAAGGGATTGTCCGCCGCGCTGCCCCAATGTGTGTTGGCGAACTTCACATGTCTTCGAAATATTTTTTTTCTTATTTCTCAGAAATGCAGGTTTTCTCACGATGTTTACCTTTATCGCTGTTTACCTTCACCGCTGAGCAAGTAGTACATCAGCACTTAAAACTGCAATTAACAATTTCATTGGTGCCGGTGGGGATCAAACCCGGTTTGCTCGCATATTGTAAAATTTACAGCAAGTGCTAACCATCTGAGCGTCTGCGGCTCTGTATTATTGTTATTATTATATTATGTATTGTAAAATGTAAATATGAAAAAAACGATGTGTGACTACCTAAATAAAATAAAATTAAAATAAATATATTATACAAAACATTAAAATATATGGAGAAAACATACCGAGAATCCCCCGTCACCACTTATCACAAACCATAACCTTTTGGGAGTAAGGTGCTGGGATTGGCTATGACGGGGATAGTGCACGCAATTAAAAAAGGGATAGGAGACTTTTTTTAACTAGTAATTTCTTTAAACAAATAAATAAAATTGAAATGTCTGTTTGTACTTTCAAAATAACATGTTTTACTTATGCATATGAAAGCACACGCAGTAGCCATAACAAAAAATATTTCCTCTGTCTGTCTGTTTGTTCCGGATAATCTCCGAAATTGCGGAATCGATTTTGACAGAAATTTCACTAACAGATAGCTGATGTCATAAGGAGTAACTAATTAAAAAAATAACTTTTATTTTCGACAAAGAATTAGGGTCAAAACGTGCGTTTTTCAACGTGGTAGAGCCATGCTGCAGTTATATTAGATAAGTATAGTTGTAGCACGAATAGGTCGGCTCGACCGGGGAAGGACCACGCTCTCACAGAATACCAGCGTCAAATAGTAGCTTAATGCTGCTGTGTTTCGTATGGTGAGTGTAGAGAACCGGAGACCCTTTTTACTGGAAACGAGTCATTCCATCTTAGTCCTCACGGGTGACAACGCATCTGCATTTTGATTCGTAATCGAGGATAGATGTAGATGTCTATGGGCCACAGCAACCACTTACCATCAGGTGGACTGTGTGCTCGTTTTTCACCCTATCCTATAAAAATAAAAAATTCTACGCTGGCGAAGTGACGATCTACAGCTAGAAATAATATTATAATTTGTTGTTGTTGCTGTACTATTTCAATAGTATAATGTATACTACTTACATACAAAAAAATTTAAGTGTCTTTCTGTAATATTGAAAGAACTGGCCTCAATCAAACTAATGGGATTAATTACAAGTTACCAAAACATAAACAGTGTGGAGTTCGGGCTAGACTTCGGAATGACTGAATCAATTGTAAGAAAACTTTAAGAACAGATAGAGAGTAAGCCAGGAAGAACACACATTATATTTTATATTCGAATAACTTGACGATAATTTTTGAAAAACGAAAAATTGCAAAAAAAAAACTGTATTTCATTATCTTAAATCTTAATACCGCCACATTAATTGATCCTTTTCAAAATCGAAGCCAGTATTCAGATCTAACATTAATCTAATCGCAAGTATTAAATATAATAATATTTATTTATTAGTTGTCAGCCATATAGCCACAAAGTACGATCCTGAGCCACATTCACCTTTCGACTCCCTGCTTAATCATGTTGTCACTTTACTAGTTTCATGTCAATAGCTAAGCACAATGAATGTATTATGATATAATATTTTTTGGACAAATTTAACTCATCTAGGTAGCGTTCGAGAAATTACGAAATATCTTCGATTAAATTATACCCTAAAACTTAAAAACAAGATTGTGCAACCAGTGCGTATTGCCAGTGATGATATATGGATCTGAGACATTTGAAGATTCAGAAGTAGCAATCAAAAAGCTCAACGAAACGACAACCGATGGTGAAAAAAGGTTCTCCAGTGGCAACTTGTATCGGTAAACGAAAAGTAGGGTGGCCCCCTACTAGATGGAGCGACGACTTGGTAAGACATGCAGGAAATCGATGGATGCAGGTGGCTCAGCACCATGTCTTGTTGCATTCCTTGAGAGAGACCTATGCTATAATACTATAATACAAACACAATAGAATGGCTGCCAACCTTATTTTGTAGGATAATCGAGAATCGATGTCGCCGGAGCACATATACTCATATGCATATCATAAAAAAAGTATTTACTTTTGTATTTGTGTTGTTTGTGTATTTACATATATATTTTATTTTTATAATTATATTTTATGTTCAATGTAACAGCCTTCATAGTTTTAACACTATCCTAAGGCTTATTGGCAGAGAATAAATAATTTTAGCGTTAAGTCCGCCTTTTGATCTTGTACTATTTTG